AAATATTGCCGCGGTGATATTTGTCTTCTGATCGATCACTAAGTTTTTTTTATTGTTCTAACATTAAGAAAAGACGTAACAAGTCCCTGTCAATAAGTCCAATACAGAAGAATGCATGTTCACTTTTGGCTGGAATGTGTTTTAAAAGAAAACTTTATCTCAAAAAAGTAAGCTACCGTCTGAGAAGGCCGAAATATGTAAACATGAAAAGGATCAAATAACGAAATTACCGAACCCTGTCGCTAAATTCAAGGCAAACTTCGAATCGCTTGATTATGAATACACTTGAAACATTAATGACGTATTAAAACACGTTCGACGGGGACAAAATGTTTGATCAATAACATAGCGCCTTCCTGAACTTGGGCTCTGAGAAGTTCCGTGCTCACGATGTTCCAATATCTGACCAGCTACACAGCTCTAGGCCGGGGAAGCATGCGGTTCCCAACTCAATAACATGAAGCTAATATTGTATTTAAACGCCCGTAAGCCCCGGGGCTCCACGCGCGCGCTGCTATGTATAGCATACCAATTAGCACACGATGTGCCGCACGACATCCAATCAAGGAATATTAGCCGAGCGTCAAATTGAATGCGGAAATTGATGTTACATGGGGCTTGGCCCGGGGTTCCCGCCACTTAATAACTTATCTGGTACGGCACGGCACGACGGTCTAATGGCGCTATAAGGCTAGGGCATGAAAGCCGACAAGGGAAATTAATGTCGTTTTGCAACATTGTTTGCCCTGTGTATAACTGGTGTATCGAGCAGTTCTCTCTCGTGCATAAACAAATGGCATATATTTCTCCAAGTACTGAGCCAGAGAACGTCTTAGTAATGTGAAGCTTACATATATAGCCTACTTTAAGCAAACGTTTCAGCGGCATACACCGTTTATCTGGTAAATAGGAACGGTTTTCTGCAGCAGCTATGATAGAGATCCGGTGAGAGAGATTAAGTAAAGTGCCTTGCTTAGGAACACAGGAACCAAGATCCCCAAAGGCTCGACTGTGCGGTCTCTGGATAAATCCGAAGAGATCATTCCAAGTTTCAACTTTAGGGAGGGGATTCGCAACGCCCGACAAAAGTACTGGAGATGGACAGGCTCTTAAATCTGCGTCGCTCCCAACAATGTGGCAGGGTACATGACATGAGACTGATAGTGGAATCAATTCCTTGGAAGGTAACATTAATGTAAAGGTTGGAATCGATATTTTAGGATGGAGGGGACGAGCGAAGAGAAATGTAGAATCTTCCTACATCACCGGCCAAACTAATCGCTTCGAAAATCCTTCTAAGATCATATCCAAATTGGGCATTTCGGTTTGTAGCATTAGCACTCAACAGTACATTATCATAGATTTGTTGTATCACTTTCGGAGAACATTTGTTTTAAAACTCCGTAGTCACGTTATGCTTACGGTACTGAACAACGTGATATGCCTCAACATCGCTGCAGAAGAGCGGCTTGGGAGCAGGACATAAATCTGTGTACATGTTTCGTATAAAAAGAATGTTGTTTAATATGCTATGCCACTGCAGCGGTGCAGTGTCATCTTCAAAAGCTTTGTGGGCTAATACCGAGCCAATATGGCGCTCTCACTGATCCACGTGTCCTGACGTACACCCGCCACTGTCGTGGATATAGCCCCGCCCCCTACACGATACGAAGTAGGCAAGCTTTCCCAAGCCCAAATGACAAAACTGCGGGGCTAGTATCCTGTGCTCTGGATTTGCACAATAACGCCAAATGAACTCGACGCAAGTGGTGACTCTGCGCAATTACAGAATTCTTGTTCCATGCATGTATTTTCAAGGGAAAAATAAGCCTTGGTGTCTGGTTTATAGCGTAGGGATGCACGGTTACTATAGCCAAACTTTGATAGGACCCTGTTTCACGCAGCTAGGTCACAGACAAGGTCATGCAGCTGCAACATCTTTGTCATTAATTTCAAGGATTATCCATTCCTCACAGTGTAACAAATCACGTCACAAATCGCTCGAAAATCCAGTCTTTTATTCTTTCACGTTTTCCTTTATCAATGTCTGGTCCATGATCACAGGACACCTCCTGAATGCGGAAAAAATATTTAAAAACCAAACATTCCACACTGTGGCTATTTTTACAACCTTTTCTGACACTGCCTGTGCGCATTTCCGATCGGCCAGCACCAGCAGGAAACACTAAACAACGATCCGGAAGGAATATGTTATTGGGAATGGCTATTTACGACACTCCGAGGCCACGGGCCGGATGTTTTCACTTTGGTCGCACGGAGAGGCAATCGACACCCAGTGCTTGGTGCACTAAATCCAGGTGGGATTGGCAGGGGTGGACGGGGGATGAATTGGAACTGCTCGGGGGAGGGGAAGACTGCCTATCATCAACAAGATCTTTAAAACAATAGCCAAAGATGCCTTCGGTCATTAAAGATAACAGCTTGCGAGAATTGTTTACAAGAGAAAAGTATTGAACATCATGAATTTTGACTTGCAAAAATTCTCTAACGTTAACTGCACCGAAAATCTGGAATTTTGAAATTGCATGGATAACTTTTTTTATAAAATAAAACTGACATCTCACTCTGTTTAAATATTATGAAAGATGTTTCCACAGCCCAATCGAAAAGGTGTGTCCGTTTAATATATGATGTATCGAATGCGAATGTGTTTTGCGAAGTTTTCTGATAAAATGAAAATCCATCGTTCTCGTCTTCTTGACTTCAATAGTGACATCGACCAATAAATTCACAATTTTTTTTTAAACGTCCAGGCATAAAAAACCCGTGGCATTTTCTCTTGTGGCCAACTTGACCAACAAAACACGGATTAATTTCCGAGTTATGAAATGGGAATCTATAGCATGACAACCGATTGCTGCAGGGGGCATCGCGTCTATAGTCTTCGGTACAGTGTCTTTTTTCCCTCGGTCGGCTAAGCGCGAGTCAGAAACCTATATGCTTTCGTCTCCGAAGCTTTGAAGCTCACGCAGAAGGCCGGGAATGAGATTCCGTTTTTTCCCCAATTGGCAATGCGCCCATTATGTCGCTCTCGCCGCCAGCAAGGCGGAAATCCCCTGGTAACAGGGCAGGGGAGTCCTCCTCCCGCAAAAACCCATAACAATCTGAAACATGCTAGAATACCCCAATATTATTCAGCCTGTCTTGTCTGCGCGGGGTTTTTTATTCACGGGAGCATATCGTGTCAGACTTGTTTGACGGCGCCAAATTGGATGATGCACAATTCATACCACAGATGTTTTGTACTTTGCAAAGTGTGCCAGGTAATGAGAATTCCACTGACATTTAATATCATGCGAACTCCAAACACCACCTGTTTAATTTCGTGATTAATGGTCTAAAATCTCTAGAAACTACATAAAACCTTAGTTTCTTGCGTTTGAAACGGAGGCGTCTTCAGCTGCACAATAGGAAAATAACTATTTACTGTCATTGGCCTAAGCAAACGGCGCATTTTGATAAGTTTGCTTCAGAAATGAAGGAATTTCAAAGAAATCACAATTATGCTCGGAATGCAACCTGTCGTTACAAAAGCCGAAACCGTTGTTGTATAAGAGGTTAACCAAATATGTACACGTGTATTTTTTTTTCGATATCGGTTCGGAAATTTCCGTAAGATGTTGCTGCAGTACGGGACTAGACAGTGGGACACTGGCGTGGGTGGGGGGCTCGAAGACTACCTCTAAATATGCATTTTAAAACTGTCACCGCCGAAAGTGGGCGCGATCAAAGGGCCAATGCCCGGCAATACATAACGAAACTGTGTGCCTGAGTCAGGGTTGAGTGGGTGTGTGGGGCCGGGGGGGGATCCAGAGTTGTAACGAGTCACAAAAATTCGTGACTCGACTCGAGTCATTGTACCGTGGTGACTCGGGTCGAGTCACTGTATGGCTCGAGTCGTATATTTGGGTAAAAAAGTCGAGTCAAGTATTTAGTCCAAGTCAATTCGATCAATATTTGAACCCAAAACGATAAACAGAAACAAAAGAAGAAGTCATTTTTAAATTAGCCACTGGTTTTCAACAAGTGATCACATCACATCTTACCTCTGATAATAACACCTGACAAGATCATTATTATAAACAGGGAGTCACTGGAAATATTTCTTCACCAAGAAATTTGCTTTTATTTTGGGGACTCGGGTCATATGCTAGCAGTGACTCGAGTAGAGTTGAGTCATTTACCCGTCCAGACTCGAGTCGACTTGCCAAAAACGGTGACTCGAGTCGAGGACTCGAGCCGTTCACTTGGGTCATTGCAACTCCGTGGGATCTCCTTCCCAACCCCTAGCGATTCACGCCCCTGATGCTGGAAGTTCTCTCAAAGAACCACGGCGTTGGAAAAGAACCAAAGATGAAAAGCCAACCTCGGCCTAACTTCCAATTTGGATGAGATACGGCAAACCTCTTGGTTACCAACGAAGTTAGCAGGTTGCTGGGTTGTGAGGGAATGCTTGCTGATAAAGAGTGTAGATGCCGGCATTTCGTCAGGACAACGTCGTCAAGCTAATTTGAGTTATGGCTCAAAAAAACATAGAAGTGACTGCTGGTGGGATTGTCAGAAAAACAGCTTGTATCCCGTCACGAAACCGGTTTATAAATTACACATAGGATTATTCATCAACTCTTTCATAATTAGTTTTTTTTGGGTGACATGGCAGGACTTAAAAGTCCCCGGAGGTTGATTTGAAATCTTCGTTCATGAATAGGCCTATAGTATTATTTACTTATACTATGCATTCAAAGTGTGAATTAAAATTTCGATTTACAGCTATATCTGTTCGTACATGCAAGATAATTAGGGCTTCTATATAAGCCAACGGTTGAGGGTGTAAATCATGAAATTGAGTTGGATGTGTTTTCAACACATGTAAATCATGAAATCTCCATTACGAAAGGCGACTTACACAAGCAGACATAATAATACACCGCGGGAAAAGGATGAAGGAGACCGAATAAATCAAGACAAAGAAATGAGCGTAGGATAACAGAGGGCTGAAGGACCGCCCTTCGATCAATTGCCCCTCGTATAAGAAATCAACGCGACAGTTATTATTACCAAACATTTACATCAGGTTGAATAAAAGCAGAACAGAGAGTAAATATAATTGTATAACTGTCTTGGAAACAAGTGATATCATTTTAAAAGTGGGCACAACGTGGGCTATTAAATTGAAGGCCTTCAAATCTAATTCATCGGAAAAATAGAATAACTGACGACCGACCATATACCCCGAACCTCAAAATGACAGGACTAATTCATCAACAGCAGGAACTAGGCTCCCCAGCTCTTTCCAAGCAGACGTCTTTGGCATTGTTCTGATGCGCTGTAACAAGAAATAATACCTAGAATAACACATTTCCTTTTGAAAGGATTTGTCAAATGCACTGCATACAGAAACGTTCCCATCTGCGGTATTGATAGGGTACACTATACAGTATTGGTTATGTTTTATACACAAATGGAAAAGGATGCTGTGCACGAGCATATTACCTTGAAATTGTGAAAACTTCTAAAAATATATTCTTGGCCACAGCGGACAATGTCCCCGAGCGGATTATAAAATAAATCAAATTTTCGCCCGATGAAGGGAATAAAAAACAGATAACACCCCGAGGTAATTCGTATTTCATATCTGCAATTGATTTTCAAAGATCTGCACAACCACATAACGTCTCTTGAGATTCTGGAAAACATCGAGTAGAAGACATCAGTTCACAACAGAAAAAGCTTGACAGAACGCATTTAGACGATCTGACGTAGCCTCGTTTCAGCGACAGATAACCCTGAAATGGCAATAAACTGTTCTGCAATCTGCATTCAAAATGTTTACAAAAGAGAAACTTGAATCAGAATGGCACGCAAGCAATCGTTTAAGTACGGGAAACCGAAGGAATTTTCTTCAAGCAGTGACAAATCGAATACCATTCGCTCTTTTTTAAAACTCGGTTGAGTGATGGTGATGTCGTACACAAGTCATGTGTTGTATTCAACAAACTGGTAATACACAGTATATGTCACTGTGCTGTGGACAGATACATTATTCACAAACCGTTACTTTCTATTCCTTATTCAACCAATCAAAGGCACCATCATAAAATAGCCGCTCTTGAATCAAATTAATACTCCTTGAAGACAAATTTGAGGAAGCCATAGTGGCCAAACCAATAAAAAATCCAAGGTTTTTAATTTCTTCATCCTAATCTGACTGAGATGACTGAAAATCCCCCGCTTGCTTCAGAGTTCTGTCCTTGGTCTCTCAGCGATTAAAAGCAGCCGCGACAGCTTAGAGTTGAATTTTCCCTCATTGTGGGTTACTAAGGAGACAGAGAGGAGAACAAAAATAAAGACATTATGATGGGCTGAGAGAGACGCGCAGCAATCGTTGTCAATGCCATTAGATGCAACGTTAAGAATGCTTCGAGAATGACTTTACATGTACTTCTTGAGCAGTTTTACTCGGCAAATTTACATGGTAAGCAAAGGTCAAGCAAACCAGTCCGAAGATACATCAAATGGCTATCATTTTGGTTAGTAACCCGCTTTTGTAAAAAAAAAAAAAACTATTTCTTCGTTCTTCGGCAAAACAGCGCCCTCAACAGGTCCTGCACAAGACAAACACGTGGAGGCTACGTCGTCACAAGGCAACCATGCCTGTAGCGAATCGCAGTAGAGTCGTACATCAACATTTCTGTCATGATTGTTCAGTAGTATGCCTGCCCTGTAATAGCCCCATAAATTTATCTGTGAAAACGTAAACTTGGCTGGGGACTACTTCATTTAATAAAGCCCAAATGTGAAGTCCATCTGCTCCAATAACAGTATCGACTCTACCGTCAAAATCAATTTGCAGACTAAACACGCAATGGCGACTTCATCTACAAGTAAATGCGCTCACATGTAAATCCAATTTGGAGAAAATCTGTTATTAATTTTTGAGACACGGATATTATGTAAATGCCATCTAGGTATTTCAAATGGTTAGGATTAATGGAGGCAACTACAAAAAAAAATCCATGGCTTTCTCTCTGGGTAGTCCTTGATGCAAGACTTGACAGTTTAAACGGAGAGCTTTTACAAGATACTGTAGGGGTCGAACTTTGTATACCTGGGCAAGATGGAACAATGGCCTACGTGACCATACATTCCACCAACCAAACATACAAATGCACAAGTGACCTTAGAGTCCACACTAGCACTCTGGCTGTCACAGTTTGTATCACACAAGATCCAAAGCCAAGTGAAATCACACAGTAAAGCCCATAAGATTGCAGCTTGTGCAATAATTCACGTTTTTTTTTATCTTGTCATGCAGCAGTCTTTGCTTGCTCCACAAAGAGTAAATCGGAAGGTGAAATGCATTAAACAGATTCCAACACACAAATGGAGTGGGTCTTTTGTTTGACAGAAAGGCCTATCTCCCCCCCCCCTTTGGTGAATGGACCGATTCGCAGCAAAGTCAAAGAGCAAAGTCGCTGCATGTAAAAAACAATTTTGAACTTGCAGCTGAGGGAGTACAGATGATGGAAATTGATACAGCCCTGAACCTGGCACAGTATCCAAAATAAGCTTCGCACATTCTCCCGTCTGGAAACATAATAAAACCGTGCATGAAAAAAATTCTATTCAATGCGATAAACAGGCCCTAGACGCTTGGCACAAACTGTCTTGGATCCGTCATTGTGGCCTCCCTTGAAAATCCGATTATTCCCCCAGAAACAAAGTGCAGCGAAAACCAGTGAACAATCAAGCAATAAAAAACATTCACCGACTACACGTGAGTACATAATCGCAAGGTGGAGAAAAAGCAGGGGCCGATCAAAACGTGCTGAATTAATGTTGGCTATCGGTATCACTAGGGTCAATGCCAAACCGATTCTGAGTAGCAGGTGACTTCTGAAGTGTCGAAAGAGATGTAGAAAGACGGATGAAAAACTCTGGGCACTGAATCATAGGAGACTCGCATACCAGGATTGGAAATGTGATAATAAAGGGCTATTTTATCTAGCATTCTCTCATCCAATTCACAGGGATTGGACGAAAAAAAAAAACTCTTACTGCCTAAACTAATCCACGTTCAAATGCACCGTCCTCTTGATGAGTTTCAGCCGAAGCAGATTAAAAGATATCATTCCGTACATATGTCAATACATTGAGAGGAGTCCGGATGTCCATTCAAATTTGCACAACTGTCTAGACTGCAACAAAATGTGATACTTTCATATGAGACTATAACCACTTCATTTCATTAATTTCCTCTAAAAAAGGAAGACGACGCGAACATGTATATAGATACAATGTTCCATATTAAAGAGAGATAATCAACATTTTTATTAAAATGTATCTATACTCCAGGGTGCATTGATCATGATATTCTCCCAAAATGAGTATCTGTTCATAGTTTATAGTAATCACCCATTCTAAAGTGCTCTAATTATGAGCTTTCTCCTTTTTATTTGGCGAATCATTAAACAAACTTTGTCTAGACAGAGAGGAAGGTTTAAATTCACGACTACGTGTGAACATGTAGATTTGCGATCAATCAAGCCAATTTGATTTCTCAACAGACAGGGGTGGCGTTTACAAATTAAAATTCCGCTGCACGTCACACGTGTAAGACCCAAGGAATAAAAGCAGTCGTATTGAGTGCAATCCAATTATTTCATTTTATGGGGCTCACCAACTCAGATGCTTTGTCCATTCGGGCTAATTTGAAGATTGATGACTAAAATACCCTCTTCTTCATCGGGCCTGAATTACAACTCTCCCTTTAACAGGTTGGCTGCCATCACTGTACTGTGTATGTTTCCAATTGCAAACATCTGTGCGAGTCTATTCTCAGTCAAATTTGTTCATATGCTCCAGTGTCATTCTATAATCAGCCTTTTCATTTTGTCATATTCTGTCAATGGCGTATAGCCAGGCTCCTTAACCTTCACTAAACCATCTGCCTGCTCTGTCATAAATACTTCACGTGTCTGTCCATGTAGGCCTACATGTATTCTGCCGCTCTGATATAATCTACGAACAACTGCCTTTAATGCATAACTCAATTAATATTCTGAATTCTTATTAAGCCGTTCAATTTCTGTAACAGGTTGATTTCAATGCAAACACCTGTGTCTGTGTTTGCAGGCAAATCAGGCCGGTAATAAGTCTCCACTTTAGAAAGAAAAAAAGAGAAAAAAAAACACGGTGCACGCAATGAATGACAATAAGTAGCCTGGAGCGCGGGAGATCATTCGGTGACAACGGCCTGAGACAGGGGAGGGGAAAAAACCCCGAAAACCCCAGGTTATAATGCGATTCCTGACTGGATTAAAGCTGGAATGGAAATCCAGCAAGCAGGCTAACCAGCTCACTCAGGGTGCTAGACGAAACATGATACATCTGCTACAAATCCGCTGTCTGACCTATGATCTTTGTTACAACCCAACATTTAGCTCTCAACACAGACAACCACATTTTAACATATCTGAACTCTCTGCAGTGCTGTAAACATTACAACAGGGGCACTGGAAAAATATAAGGGAGCGTAAGGTTCAGTGGCTGATTTCTTTTCACTGCATTGTACATGTACAGAATGTGTGTACCCGCATGTATAATTTACATGTATGTCTGCGCTGCAATAAGCTCTCCAGCATTATTTTGCCAAGCGATCCGAGTTTCTACACACGTACAAAGGTACAGAGCTACAGGCGGCCATTTTTTTTCAATTCTATCTTTGGAGGAACAGTTTGCATTCTTGGCATGTCTTTCGCGAGCAGACTTCTGTTATACCTTGCTTCACTGTATATTAACCTTTCTTCTGAAAATTATGACTCCGTTTAAGTTTCACTAAGATTTCTTTACAAGCCACTCTTGCTAGTTTGATACTGTACACACCCATGAATGGCCGTGCAACCGCATTGGATACATGCCCATTGCGGGTTAAAGCATTTCGTGACAGTACAGTGTACTTCCAGCAATCATTCACAGAATGCATGTATGTCACAAACTATGGTTGTACAGTTCATGCATATGTAAGTGTTTCACTGCACAAAATATGTCCTCTCCACACTGACTGTCAGCATATAGGGTCAAAGGCTTCGATATGAGGTAGAATGCTGACTGTTGCGTATAGAGCCTGAAAGTTGACCCCTGATGGCGCGCTTCCGGAAGTGCGCCATCAGGGGTCAACTTTCAGGCTCTATTGGCAGCAGCACGGAGGTGTTTCTTGATCGTCTCTGTATCATCGATATCAGTCAACAGAGGGTGCTCGTCCTGTGAGATAAAGGATCTTGTTTGCTTATGGGGGCTTAGATTTTGAAAATAAAAAATATTGATGATTCTAAGGATAGGCCTGAAGAAAGAGGGGAAGGTCTTACGAGCGCTGTAATTTGAAAGTGGTTAGGTCTTACAGGCCTCAACCTTTTTTTTCGCTAGCCCGCCAGGTAATTTAATTGATTTCTTTTTCACTACAGCGCACTGGACGTTTTTGGTAAACTAACTACATCCCCTCCATGCATGTACGTAGAAGTCAGGACTCCAAACCGTTACAATTCATTATAAACAAGATTTACAATACATTTCACATTGTTTGATGCATCTATACATTTTGACAAATAACAGTTTCAAACAGGTAGCGCACCGGGTAAGTTAAAGAACGCATGTGAGTAGCCCCCAGCTGTTTTAAGTACAATTTGAATGCAGGGGGGTAGTGCTAAGGTCGAGGCCTGTACATCTTCATCGTCATCATTCAGTGGCTCTGTTATCATTCATCACTTCTGTTGTTTGGGGAAGAGTTGAAAACACCTACGTCTGATTGCCTATTATTCCTACGGACAGCCAACGTTTGCAAAAGTTGGTTGGCATTAGGTTTTGAGTCAGATTTTACCTACTAATGTATGTTTTCCCCATTTAGTTTCAAATACAGCTGAAATTTAATTTACATGTAACAAACATTTAGTAACTTGTACTTGTTATTTGGTGTCTTGATAGCTGCATGAAGGTTGTTACTACTTTGTGAATAACGTGATGTATGCTTTTGTACTGGGAGTCAACTATAGTTTACCTGCCACTGCTAGGCAAAATACACCTCTGACAGACAGGCAGAGGCAGGTGGCCAGGCTGAATCATTCAGACCTAACTGACCGATTGACTAGTACTACTAGCCCCGGGCCAAATGACGATCCCTGAGCGTGGCTCTTCATCCACTTGTTCAACTAAGTGCCTCGAGTGGTTGGGGAGTTCCAAATGCTCCTGGTTGTACAGCGACGATTCGTATGATGGGATTAAGGTTTTGTTGGGCTCAGTCTCTGAACACCACATGGACTACAAACTACTCTCAAAATTCCACTGGCCTCCCCATTTGGTTAAATTGAAAAACACATTATTCAATAAATTTGCTAAATGAAGCGACAACTCATGCATCTTTTGCAACAGTATAAACACTGAAAACAATCCAGCCCCCCCCCAAAAAAAAAACCCAACATGCACATGTAGCCTGTTACAAGTAAAAATGTTCATGCTTAATTAAGTAGGCTCTGTCTTGCCGAATTTGTTCTGGACACACAGGTCAACACACACAGCCCTTCGTTGATGATTTAAGTAACATCCGGCAAACGACAGTACGCATGTACACATCAATTCTACACTAAGGGAAGGACTTTAAGTCATACAGGTGCACATGTGCAAATTAAAGGTTGCACTATGCGCGTAGTTGAGTGACATGCTGACAGCGAAGCATCTTTTGTGCATGTGTTAGCTTTTAATTTCCTGTCAGCGAAGAGAGAGAAAAAAAATCAGCTTCCTGACAGGTCACAAAGCGGAGGGGGGTCAATGACTGGTTGACAGCACCGGACGAGCTGTTGGAATCTTGAATGAATCCGTTAAACAATACCAACATCAAACGTGGCTCTAGGGGACAGGATCACATGCCAATTGAAACAAATGCCTGGCAAATTCCAAACAGGTGGAAGACAGTCTCTGCTGGAATTCCAGTATTTGTTGCTAATGTAGGAAATTACAGGCTGTACCGTTCTATTCAGGCTAAATTCTTGCACCCTGGAACAACAGCAGTAAGCTACGCAAATGACAGTCGCAAACCAATTAAAACTACATGTACTTTTGATCAGCGATTTACGTGCATTCACTTGTCGTAAATATCCAACAGTCCCAGGGACAATGTGACTTGGTAATTTCCAAGGTCAATGGCACTCAACGCTCATTATGAAAATTACATATACATGGACATGTACTGCAAATTTAATGGACATAAAGTATTAAAGGGCATACAGCTGTGCAATGGTGAAATGATCACACAGGATGTCATTACAAATAAATATTGCATTTAGTTCTGGGAACATCCACAGCAGTAGGTCTTCTGTTTTGTGCACCTTAACTAAATAAATAGTGTAAAGTTTTGAATTTTCTGGTTGATACCTATGCGTGATAAAGACAATCACATGATCTAAAATTCCCTCATTTAAAGACCCAAATTCAGCTTAAAAGGCTTATGAAGGTACAGGGTCATTCTCTAATTTGGGGTCCACTTTTTTCTTGACCATGCCATATCTGACAGGTGATTTTGTAAATTCAGAACCATTCTTTAATTTCGAAGAGTGATGAATTAATGCAAAATACCTGCCAAACAAACAAAAATAGTTTGAAGACGATTTCAATGATATTTCCACACTACACAGCTGAGAGACACAAACAAGTCATATTTTTTGGATGCTGAAGTTTCTACAATGGCCCTGCAGTACTATGGCTATAAGGAATCAAGCCATAACTGTGCAATTCTGGAATTTTCACAGTTCAAGGCAGATAGCTGAGAAAGTGAGAACTTCAAGTTCCTCACAATATCAAAGCCGACCTGGTTTTGCCGCACACAGAAGACACAAACAAAAAAGAAGGCAAGTTCTTGGAGTGAAGATGTGCAAAATCGTGAAATAGTTTGCATCATACCATATTTTTGACTAGTTTTATGCTTCCACTTATGTGCAAATTTTGTCTCCAAAGGGTTTTGATTTGAGAACTATTTTCAAAGGAACTCTGTTTGCACTTATGGGCTGTGAAAATTGGCATCCCATCTTGAAACCCGTTTATCTAGTTGAAATTATGTACAGCTCCAATATTACTACTTTTCATCATAACTTTGCTACCTCAATTTATCTGTTGAAAGATCAACAACTTGTTTGAGGTTTCACTTACCTTCATTTTTTCCTTTTGTTGTGACGTATTCCTCAGGCTTGAGTGAGTTGTCTGTGTCCATCTGTTGATCAAGTCATAACAAACAGGTCCACTCATCTTGCTTTCAACATGACTTTCATATAAGCAAAATAGTTCATTATCACAACAAAGCATTATGCTCAATGCTATCAAAGTACAATAAAAAGAGAAGGCCATCAAGACCCTTTGACCTTCTGCAGGCAATTTCATAAAACTTTATGTAATGGCGTAACATCACGCATGCCACGTTGTATTTAGGGCTGTGCCGAATATTTGATTGATTGTCGAATATTAAAATATTATTTTTCGAATGTCAATATTCGAATGCAAAATTCATGAAAAGGAAGGGAAAATTTTCTTTTTTTTTAAATGAGAAAAAGTGCTCTACGGAGGTTTCAAGCAGATTCAAATGAAAAGTGTCAGGAATCTTACGAAATTATTCAATAAACAATTTAAAAGGAATAGAAATTTTCGACAGGGCAAGAAGTCTTGTTCATCTCCTCAATCTTGCTAAATCCTGGCTGGAGATACTCCTAGATGTGAGAAACTATTATATTGATCATAATGTACAATTGTGTGTGTTATTGCAACTGATTTGTATATGGTTTGTTCATCAACAATCTGCCGGTCGGTACAGCCGAATATTCAGATATTCGATCAAATTGAAGGTCGAATATTCGAATAGTGAATTATTCGAATTGACTCAGCCCAAGTTCTATTGCATATGTTGTGCAACAAATTAAAATCAATTTCACGAAACTTACGCACTGCATATGTCTACAACTTGTTGCTTAACATACATCATTTTGGGCTTAGGTTGCACTGAATAAAGCCGAAATGAATGATTTGATTAGCTGTCATGTTGGTTAAGGCTCGTCATCTTTGGTATATTCGTTGTCTTTGTTGTTCTTAATTTCTTGTTTCAATGCTAATGAATTGTTTTTTTCTTTATCATTTTTAATTAGGTAATTATCAACACAAGCTCCTGTTTTTTTAATGTACCCTGCACTTTGTTTCCCTAAACATTGCTTTTCCTTTGTTATCTTAGGTAGCTTTTCCTTATTTCTTTACCGATGTATATAATTTAACTTTGTGTTTATTCAGAGTGTGAAGTAAATGTGAATGAACCATTGCTGAACTTAACCAGGTTTATGAAATAATGGACGCCTGTGCACTCCTGCCATAGTGCACCTATGTACAGGGTCTTTTCACTGCATAGATGTTGCAGTGTTGTGCACATTCCGATGAAAATTCACCACTGACACAAACTCTTATGTGAACCTGTGACTTGTCCCTGTCACATCTGACATAAGATTTTGTAATTTTAGGAAAATTCTCTTGTTTCCATGAGTAACAAATTAGCACAAATTACCTGCCAAACAAATAGAAATAGTTTAAAAATCTATTTCAGTAATGTTTCCACGTCAAATTTTATGTACACGGGTCAGGGTTAAGAGGGACACAAGATAATTATACTTTTGGACCCTGAATTTATAGAATGACCCCTTAGTTGAAGAATCTTTGTCATCACCAGAAATTAAATGATAGCAATAATAACAAGGGTCACAAATCAAGATGTTATTGACACAGATGTACAGTATGCTTCATGGTGTTGCCACATTTAGAAGAGCCAAATAAACTACCAAAATTTTTGACTCTGAAGTGGCATACAGAGGAACTGACTGCCTTCAAATCAAGGCTGCCAAAGTTGAGGCTTGAAGGGTGAATCAAACAGATAACTTACAAAAAGTTCCACTTGCTTGAGCTGAGCTCCTTTAAGTTCAATGGATGCCTTGAAGGACTGGAAGAAGAGATAGGAGACTCCAGAGGGCCGTTGGATGTCACAGGAATATGTAGTCCCGTCATCAGAACCTGTTACCTCAAACAGCCATTTCTTGGGGGAAAAAAGATCAACAGTTTGACTTAAGGTCTGCCAATTCTCCTAACTTTGGGTAGCCCCAAGGAAAGAAATAAGACATGGTAAAATATTATAATGGTATAATATTATGTGCATTTGTGTTCATACAAACATCTGTCAATGTACATGTAAGCTCCCAACCTCATTTGTTCCTCCCTGGGCAGCATATTCAAAGGTGCACTTACACGGACCCTGAAAGATAAGAACATATGCAATGTTGCATGTTAATAATTACATTCTACTAAGAAGTTTCGGCCCAAAATTAAATGATGCGACAAAGAGCTGTGAATGAAGACAAATCAGCGCATGTAGTCTGGTTCCTTGACCTGGAACCATACAAGTTTCTTTTATGAAATTAAGTATACCCACGAGGGCTGGGTCCGGTAACAAGACGTGAAACAAAATGGCATGATGGGGTCGTCTTCCACCAAATTCAGGTAGAAAATTCAGGTTTTCTCGCTTAAATATTGTCAAAATTTACCTAAACTAGAGCTACTAGGATTAAGGAATGGATCCTAAAAGTCTGAATGTTTGATAGTTTGAAAAAGTGGACTTCATTTTCCTTATTGCAGGAACAGGGTGCTAATGGTAATGAACACCCTTATATGTATGTACCCCCAGAACTGTGGGGTTCAATGTCTACCACGCTCCTCCCAAGAATGGGAGTGTTGCAGACATCAAACCACTACTGGGGGTATAATGTCATCCTCTCCAAGATCACTTCCAAAACAAAACAGAAAAAAAAATTTATCAACCTCCCTAACATACATGTAGGTACGTACGTGTAATCACACACAATATCTCATAACACTAATAGGCCAGCCTACTGCATTTCCTCCAATCAAATAACGTTTATTCATCTGCTCATTGATTGTTTAACCGGCTGTGTTTCTTATATCACAAGTTAGGGGGCCCAGTGTCGATGGAGAAGTATACACGCACGAAGCCCCCCCCCGTGCATGCCTGGCATCATATCAGTTATTACTTAGGCCTATCTCTGTATCAGGCACGCCCGATTCGGTTTAACGTCTTACATGTACATGCACATCATGTCTATTTTACTCCCCCTACCAATTTCTTCACAGTTGTCCAAACCTGACCACCAGGTTTCACTTCAAAATCTTCAGAAAGGGAAGAATCACCACACACTCCAACAAAAATGATTGTGAGTGTAAAAAGCACCAATAGGCTCAGGTAAAAACAGAAACATTTTCTCAGAAAAATACGGCAGATACAATCTATGGGCGCGGCCATTTTGGTTTCTGATTTATTATAATGTTAGGACGCCCTCAAACAGTTGAAAGAAGTATAGAGAGGCTCACAAACGACCATGTATTGTATTGATGCTTAAATGGTGTGGTAATATTTTTAAAAAAATAACAATTAAGCTAACCTTGAGATGTCTTTAAAAAATATTTTATTTTGTTTATTCAATATTTTGATTTAAATGTTTACTGTTTGTTTTATGAGGTATTTATACATCAAAAGGGAATTGTAGACAAATGGCAAGCCAGGCGCCCATTAGCTGAGGAATTCACCTAGTACCTAGTCTCTTCTCATAGTTATTGGGGTGTCTAAGCTGATCGGCTGTCGATGTCATACTATAACAGATTCCAAAGTTCGCAGAGTTTGCGGGCAAGTTGAAACATGAAAGTTGTTCACCGTACGTTTGTACATGTACATGTAGGCCTACGTTATACGTATCAATATTATGTTGTTACTTGGCTTGGAAGTTGAAACTTCGTATTTCACCTGTCTTGTCGATTATGATGACATTCAATTTACTATCAGATTGTGAGCAACGTTTGCAGGATTTAGTCACTTTTGCGTTTATACATTAGTTACGTCATGAACGTTTGACTTAACCTGGTTAGGTCTACTTTGCGGGCGCCGGGTAGGCCTACATGTACATTATATGTACATATTCACCCATGTTGACAGACTGACAAGGTCATGAAGGTAACGGTGGGCCAATGTTTTCTGTCATGCCTGTTTATTCATAATACATATACCACATGCATACTGGCATAACTGGACTACTTTTTTAGGTTTGTAGCTTTACTATAGGAAGTGCATGAAGTGTATATTTTGCCACCGATGTGAAGTTAGTTCCTCGTTTGACGTTCGACATTCAACGTTGAACAAG